CGAGAGTGAAACTTGACTACATTCGTCATAAAATTTCAAAGGTTGGCAATGCAACATAAGCAAATATAAAGCAAGAGCAACTGTTAGCAAAAACCAAAACCTTGGTTGAAATATCTAATATATCTGACTCATAAACCAAAACCAAACCAAAATTTAAAGTTGGGTACAGATTTTTAAAGGTTGCATCGGGTGAGCAACAATTTATCGATTCGAGGAATTATTGCGCTGATGAGAAAACGAAAACTCGTATATCGAGACGATAAAGTGGCCGGTAATCTAAAGGTTAGATGAGAAAACGGCCCTTAGTCGAATTATTAGTCGAGCTTCATCTAACTTGTCAATTAAATTGATTTTCTGAAGCTGATGGCAAACCACATAAAAAAAAATATTAAAATAGATATAGATTTTTAAAGCCTCTGTAGTTTGATACCCATATTAAAATATTTCGTTTGATCTATTAATTATACTGATTTTAATTTTTTGAACAGATGGCCACCCTCTTAAAAATAGTTACAAAATAAATCGTTCTCGAACCGCTTTCATTTGGCACCTATGTATATTGTTGTAATGTTTTATTTAACTTATTAATTAATCGATTTTAAATTTTTTACACGTGGCATCCCCCCTAAGAAATACTTTCAAAATAAACCGTTTCGGTTCACCCCCACATGGTAGTAATATTTTATTGAATTTATTTATTAATTGATTTTAACTTTTGAAAAAGGTGGCAACTCTCTTAAAAAAATAAGTTATTTGTAACTTATAAACTATCTGCGTACGAAATTTTATGTAAATCTCTAGCCGTTTTAGATTGAAAGCGCTACATACATACTCATTTACTCTTTCACATTTTTATAACATAATTTAACAGGATTACTGAATAATACATTATATCTCGAAGTGAGCTATCGACAGATTCCGGCCGAGAAAGCAATATATGTATGTCTAATACCATTTATTGAACTGTGTCCTCTTTCAGATTTTTGAATCAGGGGGACTACTCTGTAATGCGATACGAACGAGCAATGCGATGCGATAGGCAAATACATCGTAAGTACTTAATACGCGTGGCGATTGCCTATCGCATTGCATTTCTCTTTCGCATCGCATTACAGAATAGCCCCCCAGGTGTTCGTCCCTTAACACATCGCTGCCCAAGGCCTCCTACCATACGCTTGCAAAGGGGGACTTTTTGACAACATAAATTCAGAGACCACAACACCGACCTTGGGGGAACTGGAGGGCGACGATTCTCTGGTAGAGTTTATAAGACTTGGGGATCACAGCAAACGTCGGTGAGAACTCAGCTTCTAGATATGTATGTGACAAGCGGCATAGGGCAGGGTGGAAAGACGAAATGGGAAAGCCTCAAGGTTGTCGCCTACGCGGATGACGAAACCATCGTGTTAAGCGTGAATTCAGATTAAGTGAAACTGTTTTTCTTTACGAGAAGATACAAGACACCGCTACTGACTCCACCGGAACTAAACGGGCGATTTTTAAGCTTTACGAATAAAGCAAAATTCTTAGGTGTCATTGTCGGCAGAAAACTCGGGAGACCATAATACAGCGTTATGGGAAGTCTTCTGTGGCCTCACATTCGTGCAAGAGAGAGAGAGACAACGACAAATGATGCATTAAATGTATTTTTGGATCTGAGGCCACTAGATCTATTGGATCGGCAGATGGCATCTCTTGCTGCACTTCGGTTAAGGGAGACAGGACAATGAAAATCGGTACTGCATGGTTACTCCTATATTACGGAAAATTCATCTTTCTTCCAGGGTATACACAAAGTTGTATTGAAACTCTGGTTCAGTTTACAAACTTCCTCAACAAAATTCCAAGTACGAAGAAATTGGTAGAAAACTATTATGCTCAACCCGATAGGATACTAATTTTCCCAGTAGGCTCAAAAATGAATAGTGAAATAGCAGGGGGTCTTCTCTTACGCCCATCGTACTGATTTAAAAGGTCAAGAGGAGTTCATCTTTAGGGGCAGCAATCAAAGCTGTGAGCTCCATCACAGTTAAATCAAAAATAGCGCTGGACTGCCGCCAATCTCTGCAAGAGATGACTAAGCAGAACTTTCTAAACCTTATTTGGGTGTTCGTGGTCGTAGTAGGGTACCTGTATTCTAGCAGATGGTATGCCTTCGCCACTTGCAAGCTGCTTTTAAGATAACTTATCTATATTCACGCGAGCGAAAGAAGGATGCAAACTACGAGCTGTCGAATTTCTATGTAAACTTATACTACTACTACTTATACCTACAGTAGCAAAAGTGGGGAAGTGGCCGAAAAAGTGTTCCACCGTCTCATCCTCTTCAAAGCACGAAGATATAATGGGATTAAGATGTAAGCCGAACACAGTCGCCATACTTCTGACAACAAACCATTTGTATGCACGTAGGTAGGCGTGGTCGATGCGAATGAGCCTTACCTAAACGCCATGGCCTAATCAATGCGTTTCGTGCTTAGATAGGGAAGGTTACAAACAAGTTCTGAAGCTAACACACAGTTCTTTTTCTTGTGATGCGAGGCGAATACTCAATCCGGATCCTGCAGTTTAAAATTTACCACCCCACGTGCGAGTTAGATAGGATTGGATCAAGCACCTTTTTTTCCTTTTAGGGTACTCTTGTTGTGAACTTTAAGCACTTAAGATATGATATACTCAAAAATCGTATTCCCTCTTGGATTACACTTACCGCTGTCCCAAATTTTATTCTAGGCATTAGCATCCATAACAAGATTAAAGCAACATTTGGTTGTCAAAGCAATACACAAGGCCACTCACAAGTCCTGAAAATAGAGTTGCACAAGCTTGGTTACTTTAAAGAGTAAAACCAATCGGTCTGACCTTGTGTGTTGTATAGCTGTTATGTGGAGTTAATAATGCATGGTCTGTCGCCTTGCAAGGCAAATATCCTTAGAATGCTGCAGGTTTATGTTATCGCCACAGCAGTAAACGTTCGATCTCTCTACCACAGGCGAGGTTTTCGCCTGACAAAAAATCATTGAAAGCAAGGCAGAACGGCCTTAGCTTCACTCACCCTCGCTTCGTCGGAGACCTCGATTGGAATCAGAGCAGCTGTAGCACAAGAAGCATGCGATGACGATACTATCTTATTCTGATCTTGCTTCCATTTCAACAACACATAAGTGGAATCGGCCTTATCCGCACAAACTTCTGCCAAGCTCGCGTTCAAGGTAGCAGCAGTAATATTCTCTCTTGTATCAATGTCACATTCCATGAAAGCATTGCGGTGAGCATTAAGTGGGGAAGCAGCTGGAGTTATTATTTTGCGCCTCCCATCAGTCGATTTGAGGGTGACAGGTAATAACGTCAATGGAAATAAGGTCAATTGACTTTATTTCCCATCCTGGTGCGAAATAAAGTCAATTGGCATTATTACCTCTTCAAAAGCGAAATAAAGTCAACAAAAATTTGGAAATAAAGTCATTGACGCTATTTCCTCATTCAAATGGAAATAGCGTCAACAATGCTTAAGTATGTCGATTCATAGAAAAAAATGTTGCTCTTACAATAAACATTGCCCCGTAAGTGTTGTTTTTTAATAGATGAAAAGGGCTTTTGCCAAATCCTCAGTGTTGTGATATTAATCCACACACAATCATGAACTACCACCAATTGATTCTATTAAAAAAATAATTTTAATTACGAATATGTAAAAACACGATGCGAAAAACCTGCGCACAGCTGGAGTACGAGAAATATTTGATGAAAGAGTGGAGAAATGATCCATAACTTGCAAAACATTTTTCGTTTCTACAAAAATAAAGCGAACACTATTAAATTGAAGAAACAGTACATGTCCAAAAACCCCGGAGGAGCACTGAAAGAATTCTGTGTTTTAAATTAGCATATTTTGAACGAATTCGGAATGTCTAAGGTGGAAAAGAACCCAACCTTTCTATAAGGAAACAATTCTAGAAAAATAATTTTCTTACACTGTATTTATGTCTTCGCCAGCAGTCATTTAAAAGCAGCTAAAGAGAACGACGACACTATTTATTAGATGGCACATTCAACGAGCCAATGTGCCAATTATTGATTATTTAATATCGGAACCGAGATCATATAAGTTAATTGATTGGTTTGGTGCGGGGGCCGCGGCATAGCGTGACGTGGTGTGCGCGCCGGTCGCGCGTCAATTGATTTTATTTCGTTTTTAAAAAGGTAATAATGTCAATTGACTTTATTTCGCACCAGGGTGGGAAGTAAAGTCAATTGACCTTATTTCCGTTGATCTTATTACCTGTTACCATGCTGGAGACTTGTATGTCGATTGGTCTCACCAGAATCCAAGGCCCTACCGTAAATGCGGCTGGATTTGGACTCTTATGGGTACCACTTGCAATATTATTTCTATACATATGTAGTTCTTCACATGTTTTGATAGTATATCCCTGCTGTCAGAGGCTCATACTTAACGTGACCAAGCGTACTTCTTTCGGGAGAAGGGTAGTTCTTTTTTGGCTCTTGTGCTTCGTACTTCGAAGTACAGTCAAATGTACTTCTTTGTGATATTTTGTACTTCAGGTCCTGTACGTATCCGATCTTCTGGACAATCATCGCATGGCCTGGGCGATAAATTCGATCAAACCATTAAAGTCGCCAACAAACAACTCTCGAGAGAAGGGCCACAACGGTTATCTTGGACTTCCGTTGATCGCCCACCTAGCTACCTGGTTCAGGTAACCTTGAGCCAGATAAAAAAGGGTGTACAGAAATCGTCCCTTAACCAAAAGTCCCACGTCATCTACATAGGCGATCACCCGGCAGCCCAATTTTTCCAGTTCCTCTAGAAGGTCGTTTATAACCGCAACCCAGAGCAGAGGAGAGAGAATATCGCTTTGCGGAGTGACCCTATTGACTCTGCTCTTAGTGCAGGCGCTCCCTCACTCCGCCGCGTTAGTTAGGCCACGAAGAAAGCTGTAGATAAGCGTTATTAGGTTAGTATCGACCACTAGAATATGAATATAATTGACTATTGCCTCTGGAGTGACATTGCTGAAGGCCCCGTTGATATCGAAGAAGGCGCCTCCTGCATAACATTTGTGCGTGAAGACTTCCTCTGGTCACTCTACCAATGTGCGCAGGGCGACCTTCACAGACCTTTCCTTGCAATAATCATGATAAGCTCTTGAAAGACAGTCACGAGTAATCGCGTTTCTTACGTCGCTGTCTATCAGTATCTCTAGCGTTTTTAGCAAAAACGAATACAAACTCATGAGCCTAAAATCCCTAAGAGAAACATAAGAGATTTTCCAGCCTTCAAGATGAACGCAACGCTGACTACCCTCCAAGCCTTGGGGATGTACCCGGTCCTCACGCAGTTCGCATAAATAGAATCCAACCAATCACACGACTTCTTCAGAGCCCTTTGTAGCTGCACAGGTTTGATGGTCAAGTAATTAGGCTTGATTCTGGATAGAAAGCTGTCGTGGATGCCTAACATTGATGAAACGGCAAGAAAGGTGTCGGTTGCCTTGTACTACTGTAGCGGAGTTATCGGTAAAAGGTGAGGTCTCCCGCCCAAAGTAATTCTTTAGCTCTATGCCACCAGATTTAAACCTTTCTTATTTCAGGGAGTCCTTGTCTGGTGAAACTCACTAGAGAAGGCTACACTTGTAAAACAGGAATTAGTGGAGCATTAGGAACCACACCCACACTGGTGCTTAACGTCATATTGAAAACGACGCCTGCGGATATTACCGACAGAATTTTCGCAGCACGAACTGCTATTTGGCTTAGGGAAACCGGGTGGCAACACTTTGGAGTTCTGGAGGGCTGCGACTTCGCCCTGAACACATAGATTATAGTGCCTCCGAAAAGGCTCCCAAAAGCTCCTTCTCTACCTATATTCTCTCAAGAGAGGACTGTGAGTGGTAATCTTCTTAACGGATGTATCAAAACTTTGAGACAGGGTTGGTGAAGGTGTATTTTGGCGGAAACCACCAAACATATTCGGGCTTGCGGACTTCTGCAGTGTCTTTCAGGTGGACATAACAGACATCAAGGAAGCGGTAGACTCACTACTAAAGGGCAGTGCGCTCGAAATCGGTGAGGGAATGCCTGACCTCTCTATCAATCACGTAGCTACTTCTTCTAGTTTAGGTGCCGGGTTACAGTGCGAACGCGTGGCTGCTGACCTGGCATTGAAAAGGCACCATTAAAACCTTATCCCCAGGTAAAGGCGAGCGCTAGACTAACACGCATTCTTCGTACTCGCGATAATGAAATTGCATACTCCACTAAATGTCTAATAAACTGAAACAGCTGCTCCTACTGTGACATAAAAAAGGAAAATAAGACGTTTCTCTGCTGCAGAAAATGTTATAATAAACTTTAAAATCATATATGTAATACTCCTATATTGGCAGTAAGAGCTAGTACCGTCCGAAAACACTACAGTACAGATATATCAATAAACACGTACGAAAGAAACGGAACACATACGTTTGTAAATAACCATGTACACGACACATTTACAAAACCGGCACTCAAGTACACAATACATTGACAAAAACAGTACTAGACTGTCTCGCTTTGATTTCGGAATGCTTACACATTGAGATGTTAGCTTACTACCAATATAGAAGTATTACATATATGTTTAAAATACTTTTTCCAGCGCAAGACACGAGTGACCCATTGTTACCCCTTAAAGGTGCCGAATTCCACATGAGAGAAATGAAAGAGGAAATTTATCTATAATTTAAAAAAAAACTAAAATTTGTTCGATTCACAAGGACGAATAGGTAATTTTGTAAGCTGATAAAATTAGGAGGACAAAATTCGAGGATTTTATCGAGTTTATATAAGTTCTTAACATATAATTTTTTCAAAACAAATATTGCGAAATTTCAAGCATGGTGCATAATGCACCAAAAAATTGAATCTGATTAAATTCCACAGAACTTCCTCTTTAATTTGATACCCATACTTCTTCTCTAAGCAGATTTCACTGTTGAAATTCATTTTTAAATTTCAGACGTCAGAGTGAAAAACTAAAAACCCAAATTTACCCAAATTTGGCCCAAAGTTTCCGAATATATTAATTTTTGTGTGTAATATTTAATATCGCACGGTGTTATATGTATAATGAGCTAGACATTTATAAAAAAATATTAATTATTAAATAAAATAAAAAATATAGCTAATATTGGTCAAGAAAAGGAATTTATATTATTGTCATCAGTGCAAACTCCAAATCCCAAAAGTCCCGGGATTATTTGCCAAGAATATCGGTATTTTCGAAACCGAAAAAAAGGCCGGCATTCCGGGATTAACATTCCCTGTCCCCGAATTGCATTTTTAAATTTAGGTAATATTAAAAAATGGTTAAATAAACAATGTGGTATTATTACACTGTACAGCACTCGGCTGGGTATTGGACCAAACCAACTTTTTTTAAGAGATTGAGTCATAAGTAAAAAAGGTAAGTTCTCCGTTTTTCGAAGTTAGCCTCCGAAATCGAAATATGGGCTTTCGAATTTCCACAATGGGCCTTTGGTAAAAAATAATTTTTAATTACTGCATGTAAAAAGCAAAAAAAAGTAAAAATACAGACGTATACCGCCTTTTGTTCCTATTTATATGGTATATAACCTTAATATTTCAGAAAATTTTGATCTTATTTTTTTAAAAGATTCATATCGTTGCAAAGGCGATTTAATCCGCTTTCTTGTGATATGCATATTTGTATACTTCGTATATAAAAATTTTAGAAAAAACGCTTAAAAGGAAAAACTACAATTTTTTTCTTTAAAAAAAAACTCACAAAAAAATTGCTAATTAGTAAGACAATTGAATGCCGTATATGTAACAGAAGTCTAAGGCATATAAAAATATAAAAACACCATGGTTTTTGAATTTTTACATAACAGGTTATTTATAAAAATTAAAGATAGTTTTCTGTTTTAATTAAATAAAGTATTCAATTGTATTACTAATTAGTAATTTTTTTGTTTAAAATATTTTTTAAAAGAAAAAATTAGTATTTTTTTCTTTTAAGTGTTTTTCTCAAATCCTTTTACACGAAGTATACAAATATGCATATCAGAAGAAAAGGGGTTCGATTGCCTTTACAACGATACCAATAGTTTAAAAATCGGTTGGTAATTTTTTGTTTAAAATATTTTTTTTTTTTTTAAAAAATAGTTATTTTTTTTTAATGTGGTTTTTCTCAAATTTTTAAGTACGAAGTATACAAATATGCTTATCACAAAAAAGGGGATTAAATCGCCTTTACAACGATACCAATTTAAAAAAAAAGCGGTTAGTATTTTTTTGTTTAAAATATTTTTTTTTTTTTTAAAAATAGTTATTTTTTTTTAATGTGGTTTTTCTCAAATTTTTAAGTACGAAGTATACAAATATGCTTATCACAAGAAAGGGGATTAAATCGCCTTTACAACGATACCAATTTAAAAAAAAGCGGTTAGTATTTTTTTGTTTAAAATATTTTTTTTTATAAAAAAAGTTATTTTTTCATTTAAGTGTGTTTTTTTATAATTTTCATTAACGAAGTATACAAATATGCATATCAGAAGAAAGGGGGTTTAATCGCCTTTACAACGATACCAATTTAAAAAAAAGCGGTTAGTATTTTTTTGTTTCAAATATTTTTTTTTATAAAAAAAGTTATTTTTTCATTTAAGTGTGTTTTTTTATAATTTTCATTAACGAAGTATACAAATATGCATATCAGAAGAAAGGGGGTTTAATCGCCTTTACAACGATACCAATTTAAAAAAAAGCGGTTAGTATTTTTTTGTTTCAAATATTTTTTTTTATAAAAAAAGTTATTTTTTCATTTAAGTGTGTTTTTTTATAATTTTCATTAACGAAGTATACAAATATGCATATCAGAAGAAAGGGGGTTTAATCGCCTTTACAACGATACCAATTTAAAAAAAAGCGGTTAGTATTTTTTTGTTTCAAATATTTTTTTTTATAAAAAAAGTTATTTTTTCATTTAAGTGTGTTTTTTTATAATTTTCATTAACGAAGTATACAAATATGCATATCAGAAGAAAGGGGGTTTAATCGCCTTTACAACGATATCAACCTTTTTAAAATCGGTTACTAACTTTTGTTTCGTCCTTTAAATGTGTTTTTTCTCAAATTTTTATATACTAAGTATACAAATATGCATATCAGAAAAAATAGGATTTAAGAGTCTTTACAACGATCCCAACTTTTTAATTTTAATAATTAGTTAGTAATTTTTTTGTTTCAAATATTTTTTTTTTTGATAAAAATAAGATATTTTTTCATTTAAATGTGTTTTTCCTAAAATTTTTATATACGAAGTATACAAATATGCATATCGATAGAAAGGGGGTTTAATCACCTTTACACCGATATAAAAATTTTAAGAATTAGTTTAAAATTGTTTGGAATATAAAGAATTAAATTTTTCGAAGACCTGAACTTTGACCCCTTATAGCACCTGTAATATAAGTTTGCATAAAAAAGATATATACCATTTAGATAAGAGCAAAAATAGGACTACGTCTATAATTTTAGATTTTTATTTATTTATATGCAATAATTAAACATAATTTTTTACCTAAGGCCCGTCAAAAATGGAGAAATTACTTTTTTACCTATGGCTCAATCTCTTTAAAAAAAAAATGGTTTGGTCTTATACCCAGAAAAAAAGTTGATTTTGCCGTGCAGTGTTATTCAAAGTCTCTGATCAAAAATTATTTATCTTCAAGAATTCTATACCATTGAAATTGTTTTATTCTTCCTTAAAAAATACATGGAAAACTTGAGCGCTGTGAGCGACCTCCAAATATTTTTTGATTTCAAAGTAAAAAACAGGGGTGTAGATCACTAATAGGTAAATCTGCCTGAAAGAAAAAACAGTTATCTAACCTTAAATGGCTTTTTAACTTTAGTTAAGTCTTTTGGAAGTTTACACTCTTCTATAATCCAAGGCTATTCATTTGAAAGGGTTCAGCTTAAACTATAACTATTAGATATATTTCCAAATTAGCTTGAAGAGTCAGCTATTTTGCTTCCTGAAACATACTAATGTTCAAAGTAAAATTTTTTTTTGAATTTCCATGCATTTCAATTTATATTTTAACGCCTCTGTACTTAATAATCATCAATTGTAGTAGAATAGTAAATCGAAAGGACATCAACTGTCACACAATGCTTATCCGTTTTGAATATATATTCTACTATGGAAGAGAAAGGAAAACCGAACAGGGGCCAGGGCTGCCAACTTGACTGAAGCAGTGCCATTTTTGGTCCTATTTTACAGCAAATGGCAATTAATTTTTCAATTTGGCATAAGTGCCAAAATGGCACTTTTCAAAAATAGTAATATTTCAATACATTTTTGTGAAATCCTTTGTGCGTACTTCTTTTTCTCAACTAAAATTTTCTAATTTCTAAAGATTATAATTATTCAACTGGTTTATCTTATTTTTTTATTATCCTCAATATGGCACCTCATAGCTAAAGATAGTTGACAGCCCTGACAGGGGTCTCAATTTGAAGCCACCCTCGAATACCCCAAGTGCGAGAAAGTATGCACAAGGAAATGAGCAAAGGAAGAGCATGGCTGAGAATAACCAATCAACCACCCACAAATACGGAAAACGGCGCTCTCGCATAGACTCATATGTATGTAACCCCAACAAGCAGCACCAGCACAGTGACAACAACGCGGCTTAAATGCGAACACGAACACACAACAAACAGCAAAGCACAACAAACCGTAAAGCATCCTGCGATGGGAGTCACGATGAGCGCACAGCGAAATAACAACACACACCCATGCAGAAATGGATAGAACCATAGCAGTGGGCTGCCGTGTTGTACGCGGGTGGATGGCGCTTAAAGCTGTATTCGTGGGTGCAATGCGGGTGGTGTGACGCAGGCAACGGCAAATACTTGTACGAGATACCACCATTCGGGCATAAAGCAAACTTCGATTTATGACCAACACATGGAAAAGTTATGCGCTAGAGCAAATGAGCGAATGCGCGTACACAAAGCATTGCGACGGCAAAGGATATAAACGGGGGCAGATGGACGGCAAGGAATCGCGCACTCAACGAGCAGGCGGACGTTAGCAACCAACGACGACAATGGGTACAGCGCGACAACAGTGACCACCCCACAACAGTGAACACCAGCGCCACCACCACCAACAAGCATAATTCAACGATTCGTTTGTTTGCGCGAAGCAGGCGGCAAATGAGCGGCGCGGTATTTGCAATGGTTCGTTGGCGAAGCGGTGCTGGACGACGGCACGGCGGATACGCGGCGCGCTGCTCGTTAGACAGCGGACGCAGCGCGAGAGCACGCGTCAAGCGGGCGGCGGACAGAGAAGCAGGCAAATAAACTTTGGCACTGACAGCAACTTTCAGGCAAGAGAAATAAAAAAGTTTTTCATTCCGACGACTGCAAAACGGCGAATGACACGAAATACCGAAAGAAAAAATTTCACAGTCATACAGTTGAAAAGCGACGACTTCAAATGATGTGAAAAAATAGTGAAAATACCAAGTAGTGATTTTATTTGAAAATAAATACAAGTGAAATTTAATGAAATATTTTAAAAGCGTTTGAGATTATTGATGATGAAAATATAAAATAGTCGTGTTTTGAAAGACGAATGCTTGCGTACGCTAACAAAGGACCTGGCTGCTAGCAGCAGGCAGGCTGGCAAGCAGGCGATGAGACAGTACTAAAGCAGTGGAGCGAAAATTTTTCCACTTCACAGCCGCAACGGGCGATGATAGATAAAATTTGATTTTATTACGGCGGCAAGGACCTCGAAAAGGAAAAAAAACGAATTCCCATCAGCAATCAGGTACGGAAATAGTGAGCCTTGGCCTGGCCAATGCTGAGCGTAGTCCGACCATAAAATGCACAGAGGAGGGGTAGAAGGTGTGCAGGGGCAGCCGCGACTACTATGTTGGTAGTGTAGAACATTTTGTCTGCTGCGCGAATTTATGGGCGTTGTTGGACGTGGAAAATGACGCGACCGTTGCTTAGTGAAATCGCAATAAATCGAGAGGAATTCAAGTGAAATGAAAGTATTTTAATAAAATCGCACCAATAAAAATTCCATATCAGAGGCAGAAAAAATCGTGAAAACGGAAGTAGGGGGTTGAGTGGGTGTTTGAGTGATCCTCATGCAGCAGCTGGTGTGCAGAGAGGTGGCATTTGCAACGGCAACGAAGACACCAAAGGCAGCACCAACACCACCAACTTTTAGGGAGTGTTCGTAAACGCGGCAGACACATGCACAGCCACAGCCACAATCATAGACATAGCCAAAGTTAGAGGCAAAACTAGAGCCACCGCAAAAGTCAGAGTAGCCACCGCGAAGGGCAGGCACATCACATCACAGCACGGCACGGCACGGCACGACGAGGCAACTCTGAACACCCTGCCTAGCTAAAGTGCGACGATTGTAGCTCGTACGCCTGCTGCGCGCCCCACGTCACGCGTCGTATTGCGCGGATCGAAGCATCGCGGGTGTAGACATACAAAACGCAAAACAACGGGCAAAATGGAATAATGCGAAAAAATTTCTGATTCACCAACAGTAGCAGAAACACAAAACCGAAGGAGTAGTATAGCGGCAGCAGCTGTAGCTGATAGATGATAAAGGAAGAAGAAGCAAGCAGCAGCAAGAGAGAGGAAACCCCAATGGCATATGAGAACGCGAACGTGCTGTGGGTGTATGTGTATGTGTGCGCGTGTTAGTGTGCGTGCGGCGTGTATTGGTATGCAATGAGCAAATTTGTGTTCTGAGGCGAAGAAGAAGAAGAGAAAGCGTATGAAAAGCAAACGTGTAGAAAACAAAAATACCAAAAGAATAAAGAACAAGTAAAAGTGAAGAACGCAAAGAGGCATTAAAATAGTACGAAAAAATACAAAAGTGCAAAGAAAAAAACTATGAAACTAGAGATGAAAGCGTGAGTGTGAGCTAGGCGGTAGTGTTAGTGGCAGTGGCAAGGGAAATAAAAGAAGAAGAAGATGCAAATTAACTTCCTGTGTGTGAAGGATACGCCGCACTCGAGCTAAACTTGGTTGGTAGTCGATTTTTTTAAGATTTTTTTCTATGCCGATGCCAACGCGCGCGTTTGTTTTTAAAGAGCGCGTCTACCTGGCGCTGGTGATAAAGTAAGGTGAATTTATTATAAGATCGCAACGCAAAAGACAGTGCCGCAGAAATTGTGCAAACTAAGCGCTTCAAAAGAGCGGCAGCAATAATCGTTGAAGTGCTTTGGTAAGCGTACGTACGCTTCGGTGCTCGCGTCGAATTTTTTTATGAAAATCGGTTCGATTAAACAGTCAAAGTGACGCGCACAAAGCGAAAAGCGTTGCCTAAAGCAACAAAGCCGGCAAAGGCGCAGTTGTCGTCACATGCCGCGACACTGCGAAGCGCGCAACGCAGCGCGGCCGATGCTGCCACCAGTGACGTATCCAAATCGAACGCCACCGATTTCAGCGCGTTCGACTTTAATGACAGCTCCGATAATTCCGATATACAAACGCGACCGCCTTCCTATCTCAGTCGCGCTCATCTGCACAACAACAACGGCAGCAGCAATGCTAGCGGCGCCGGCGGCGTAGGTGGCGGCGGAAATAACAATAACACCAGCAACAGTATTAGCAACTGCAATAGCAACAGTAACACCAACATCAGCAATAGATTAACAAATAGTAATAGTTTAGTTAACAACATCAGCAACAACAACAACGCCAGCAGCCGCGCAGCCGAAACGTCAAACAACGATGGTAGCCACAGTCATGCTACCAATGAGGCGCCCAATATCAACGGCAAAATGGAGCAGGACGACGCGGAGGACGATGACGACGAAGAAGAAAACGATCAGAATGCGGCTGTAGGGCAGCGTGCTGCTCAGACACGCGTGAATGCACAAGAAGAAGACGACGACGACGACGACGACGACGACGACGACGAAGATGAGGATGAGGATGACGAGTTGGAGAACCAGCATGACGCTGCTAATGCAAGCATGGTACAGACGCGCGCGCTTAGCAATTCATTAGCGGGGGCAGCCATCGACAACGGGAGATTTTCCGAAGCGGCAACAGCATCCACTGCAACGACGACGACCGCAGGCGCTGGCGCTACAGGCAATGCGTACAACGTCAACAGCATCAGCAATGATGATAACTGCAATAACAGCAGGCATAGTAACGCCAGCAGCAGCGCACATAACGGCAACAACAATGACAACAGCAACGCCAGCAGTGATAGCATGCTTTGTGATGGTATGCGCGACCTGGATGGCATGGATGTCGGTGACAGCCAACGCTTAATAGCCAGTACGGGTAACAACCACCACAACAACAATAACAACACTGCTGATGCGCTTCTAATGGCTGCTATTGCTAGTGCGAGCCTGAATGGCGGCGGCGCTGCGGGCGGTATATGTAACGCTATGACTACGGCGACCACAACACAGTCAAACAGCCAGTGCGCTGTAGCAGATGACGCTGCGGTAGTTGGTGCCCTCTTAGATGGCCCTTTAGGCACGAGTAGTGGCAACAATTGCAATGAACTTGCACGCAGCAGTAGCGCTAGTTTAAGCAACAACAGCTCATCTGCAACTGCGCTCGGAGGCGGCAGTGGTAGTGGTGGTGGTGGTGCGGATGCGAATAGCATCGCAGGCGGCGGCGGTGGTGGTGGTGGCGGAAACGGCAGTGTTTGTGTTGGTGTTGGTGGCGATGGTGGCGGCAGTGTTGGAATTGCGAGCGGCATGGGCGGTGAGAGCATGTGTGGCGGTGCACCTAGCGAAGCTGGCAGCGCGGCTGGCACAACGGGCTCGGGTCATAGTGAGCGCAAGAAATATCGACATCAAAATTATAGCAAAAACATTTACATTGGCACTAAGAATGCTGAAAAGTGGGAACACACGCGAACGCGGCTGCAATTCAAGAACGATGTGGAATTCGTGACGTACTTGTTGAATTTGGCTGACAACGATACGGAGCGTCTAGCTAAGTGAGTATTAAAAATTGTGTGGGATGAAGTGGAAAATGTTCGATTGACTTTGAGACAAGTTTTAATGAATTCGATTTAAAGTCGAAAGAACTTCTTAAAAAAACACACACTTCAAGCGTTGGACCTTCGGAAATTGGGGATACATTTTTGAGCTTATGAACTGAAGAACGCCTTTATTTCAATAAAAATGTATGTACACATTTGCATATTCTTTGCGATTTTTTGTACTATACCACCAACGAAGACCTCGACACAGTCGTTCTTTGGGTCAAACTTCTCGCATTCTTCATCCATTTGCATGTCGCTGTTAGCTTCCTCTGGATCGATCCAGTAGTTTCATATTCCATACAATTTTAACCCTTAAACTTCTTATGACTTTTTTATAAGGGTTTTCCGAAATGTTTTTCTTGAAATTTTTAAAGAGTTGTTTCCAAAACCTATTTTCCCAAAACATTCTTTTTTCCATAAAAGTACTTTTTTACAGAAAAATAATTTTTTTTTTCATACATCAGCCTACATTTTTTTATAATTCTCGTCGACATTTTCTTCCTTAAAAATTATTTTTACTTACATTAATTGTATGTAAACTACTTAGCACCCAAATTTTAAGACTAAGCAATTATTATTTTTGAAATTTTTATTTCAAAAAACAATTTTTTAAATTTTCTTATTTTTGGTAAATGTTTTGCAATTTGGGTATAAATACGTTTTTCCTTAAAAAAGTTTTTTTTTTTAAATTACGTTTCTCGTAACAATAATTTTTCCCCAAAAAATTTTTCATAAACTATTTTTTCTTAAACATTTTTCTAATTTTAACCAAAGTATTTGTCTCTTAAATTTCTTGATCGAAATTGTTAAATGAATATGCGGCACACTTTAACAATAGAAAATAAATATAATGCTACTACTTTTACTCTTACTTAGCCCAAAAAAATGGTTAACACTTTTTTCATATGAGCATGAATTTCTTTGGAAATAAAATGCGAAAGACCGTTCCCATCAAAATTTCAAAAAATCAACTCAATCTTTAAATTGCACTTGTTATATAAAAAAAAACGCAAAAACCGAAAAAAATATTAAANTGGGAAATACGTCTTACTTAGCCCAAAAAAATGGTTAACACTTTTTTCATATGAGCATGAATTTCTTTGGAAATAAAATGCGAAAGACCGTTCCCATCAAAATTTCAAAAAATCAACTCAATCTTTAAATTGCACTTGTTATATAAAAAAAAACGCAAAAACCGAAAAAAATATTAAAAATCAAGGCTCTTTTTTAGCCGCTTGGAATATGCACTTCATTATAAAACTGCGCACTCAAAAATTTGCTAAATATTTCGATTAATTTTGATGAAAATTTATTGNCTTTTTAAATTTTCTTATTTTTGGTAAATGTTTTGCAATTTGGGTATAAATACGTTTTTCCTTAAAAAAGTTTTTTTTTTTAATTACGTTTCTCGTAACAATAATTTTTCCCCAAAAAATTTTTCATAAACTATTTTTTCTTAAACATTTTTCTAATTTTAACCAAAGTATTTGTCTCTTAAATTTCTTGATCGAAATTGTTAAATGAATATGCGGCACACTTTAACAATAGAAAATAAATATAATGCTACTACTTTTACTCTTACTTAGCCCAAAAAAATGGTTAACACTTTTTTCATATGAGCATGAATTTCTTTGGAAATAAAATGCGAAAGACCGTTCCCATCAAAATTTCAAAAAATCAACTCAATCTTTAAATTGCACTTGTTATATAAAAAAAAACGCAAAAACCGAAAAAAATATTAAAAATCAAGGCTCTTTTTTAGCCGCTTGGAATATGCACTTCATTATAAAACTGCGCACTCAAAAATTTGCTAAATATTTCGATTAATTTTGATGAAAATTTATTGAATTTCGGTAAATTTTTTGCAAATGGGCAAATCCGAGAAGTAGTCGACCAAAAGCGCAACAAGTGCGTGCAATTCGAATTCTCTCATTTTTGTGTCAAAAAAAGCATAATACAACATATTCTTATTTCATATTTCTTTTCACATTTTTTTGAGAAATCTGATTTGTCACTCTTTTTTCTTGAAACAAAGCTCTAAATAACATTGGTTCTAAGCACTATATCTTTGAACAAAAATACAACAATATTGCTTTAAAAAAATTTATGTTTTCAACGGAAAAAAGAGTAACGTCAGTAACGTGCATATACAATTTTTTTTAAGTTAATCGAACCTTTAGTTTGCATTTATATCACATTTTGTACACTTCATTATTTTCTCTTCAAAGTATTTTTGTAGATTGTGCTCTACATGCATGACAATTTGCGCAAATCGGTTGGCTTTGATGGTCATATCAAAATCGCTTCCTTTTTCAGTAACGTCCGAACATAAATTTTGAAGACAAATACGCCGACATTAACTCAAATTCAAATTTCCATTATTTTGTTCTCATAAGTACTGCAATAAACCTTTTTAACTTATAATATTTTTGTCGGCAAAAAAGTTAAAAGAAACGTCCGCACGTAATGTCCGCAGCGCTAGGATTTGCCCATATGTAAACTTTGTTTTGGTAAAAGCTTAAACACCGATATACTTATATGTGATCATAAGTGGGCGGTGCCACGCCCATTTTCCAAAATTTTACCATAAGNTTTTTTAAATTTTCTTATTTTTGGTAAATGTTTTGCAATTTGGGTATAAATACGTTTTTCCTTAAAAAAGTTTTTTTTTTAAATTACGTTTCTCGTAACAATAATTTTTCCCCAAAAAATTTTTCATAAACTATTTTTTCTTAAACATTTTTCTAATTTTAACCAAAGTATTTGTCTCTTAAATTTCTTGATCGAAATTGTTAAATGAATATGCGGCACACTTTAACAATAGAAAATAAATATAATGCTACTACTTTTACTCTTACTTAGCCCAAAAAAATGGTTAACACTTTTTTCATATGAGCATGAATTTCTTTGGAAATAAAATGCGAAAGACCGTTCCCATCAAAATTTCAAAAAATCAACTCAATCTTTAAATTGCACTTGTTATATAAAAAAAAACGCAAAAACCGAAAAAAATATTAAAAATCAAGGCTCTTTTTTAGCCGCTTGGAATATGCACTTCATTATAAAACTGCGCACTCAAAAATTTGCTAAATATTTCGATTAATTTTGATGAAAATTTATTGAATTTCGGTAAATTTTTTGCAAATGGGCAAATCCGAGAAGTAGTCGACCAAAAGCGCAACAAGTGCGTGCAATTCAAATTCTCTCATTTTTGTGTCAAAAAAAGCATAATACAACATATTCTTATTTCATATTTCTTTTCACATTTTTTTGAGAAATCTGATTTGTCACTCTTTTTTCTTGAAACAAAGCTCTAAATAACATTGGTTCTAAGCACTATATCTTTGAACAAAAATACAACAATATTGCTTTAAAAAAATTTATGTTTTCAACGGAAAAAAGAGTAACGTCAGTAACGTGCATATACAATTTTTTTTAAGTTAATCGAACCTTTAGTTTGCATTTATATCACATTTTGTACACTTCATTATTTTCTCTTCAAAGTATTTTTGTAGATTGTGCTCTACATGCATGACAATTTGCGCAAATCGGTTGGCTTTGATGGTCATATCAAAATCGCTTCCTTTTTCAGTAACGTCCGAACATAAATTTTGAAGACAAATACGCCGACATTAACTCAAATTCAAATTTCCATTATTTTGTTCTCATAAGTACTGCAATAAACCTTTTTAACTTATAATATTTTTGTCGGCAAAAAAGTTAAAAGAAACGTCCGCACGTAATGTCCGCAGCGCTAGGATTTGCCCATATGTAAACTTTGTTTTGGTAAAAGCTTAAACACCGATATACTTATATGTGATCATAAGTGGGCGGTGCCACGCCCATTTTCCAAAATTTTACCATAAGCGTATTTCTTGGTTAAGAATTGTTGCAAGGATAAACTTTGAATAAATTAGCTTTAATATATTATATGGGTTATATGGGATGTGGGCGTGGTTATTGTCCAATTTTTTAAATTTTAGGATATTTAGTATGCTGTTCCAAGGTCAACAACTGTGCCAAGTTTGGAAGAAATTGGTGCAGCGGTTACCAAGATATACACATGTAACTATAAGTGGGCGTGGCTACGCCCATTTTCCAAAAATTTATAATATTCTTATTTTTCGTCTGAAAGTTATTGTAAATATCAATTTTGAGTGAATTATCTTCAGTAGTTACTAAAATATCGCAGTTTTCGTATTTCTGAAAATTACCGTTATATGGGAAGTGGGCGTGGTTATTGTCCAATTTTTTAAATTTTAGGATATTTAGTATGCTGTTCCAAGGTCAACAACTGTGCCAAGTTTGGAAGAAATTGGTGCAGCGGTTACCAAGATATACACATGTAACCATAAGTGGGCGTGGCTACGCCCATTTTCCAAAAATTTATAATATTCTTATTTTTCGTCTAAAAATTATTGTAAATATCAATTTTGAGTGAATTATCTTCAGTAGTTACTAAAATATCGCAGTTTTCGTATTTCTGGAAATTACCGTTATATGGGAAGTGGGCGTGGTTAAAGTCCGATTTCGCCCATTTTCAATACCAACCTACCTTGGATTAAGGGAAACCTACATACCAAATTTCGTTGAGATATCTCAATTTTTGCTCGAGTTATCGTGTACACGGACAGACGGACAGACGGACAGACGGACAGACGGACGGACAGACAGACATGGCTTAATCGATTTCTTTTTTCATCCTGATCATTTATGTATACATTTGTCTATATCTATCTCGATTCGTTTTGGCTGTTACAAACAACCGTTATGTGAACAAAATTAATATACCCTTGTGCACAAGTGCGCTCGGGTATAAAAATTTACTTGAAAATCATTGCCAATATTTAAATAAAAAATCAACTAGTAGTCACTTTTTTGAAACACTGTATATATAGTAAGTCCATTGACGTCTATGGTATCAAAGCTACACTGAGGGAAATAATGCATAG